AGGCGGCGGCCGGCAGGTAGGGCGGGAGCGGGGGGGCGAGCGGGTTGCCGTTCTCGGTGTCACCCCTTCTCGGTGTCACCCCTTCACCGTGTCCGGGGCGGCGAGCCCAGTTCGCTTAGGTGGTGGGGGGGGCGCATTCTGGCAGGTGTGGGGGCTCGGCGCCCACCGGCCCAGCACTCCTCCCTGTAGGTAGCGGTGAGGAGCGTATTTAAACCATGTTTAAAACACTGCTGTGGGATGGGTTGTTGGTGCTGCGGGTTCGGGGTTTTTTTTTGTTTGTTTTTTACTCTTAGCATATGTTGTTTTCTGCTCCTTTGAGGGAGTGAGCGCACTTAAACGCATAAAGTACGAAAGGTTTAGAGGAGAAACGCGAAAGGCTACTTAAACATCCTACAGTGTGTGGAGAGTTACGTGCCGCCTTACACCGGAGCGAAAGGTGTGTTTTAGTAGCGGTCCTGGGACGTGCTGGTGAACGTCAGCTTATGACCTGTGCGTGTGGGCCCTACCTGTGTAGCAAGTCTGCAAGAATTCAGAGTATAAAAGGATAAAATAAAGGGGTTTATGTCTCAATAGGAATAGCAGGGAGAGTACGTGAGGGAAAATTGAAGTCTGAGCTTTGTTTTTCTAATTAGGAGGTATAGCTCTTTCTGCATGCGTTTGTGAACTTTGTCTTAGCATTGTTTCTGGGCTGAAATAAAATCCTCTCAGAGGCTACTAATTCTTTTGCCTGTTTCCACTGTGCTAGGGCTGTGTCTCTCGCATGTAAAACAGTCGATGAAGTGGGTGCGTGTGTGTATTTCAGTTAATTATTTCAGATGGGTGCTTTTGGGGAACCTGTTACTAATTTTTCATTCATAGATGGTTACATTTATCCTGCAAAATACATGTATGCTCTTTCATTAGAAATTCTGTTGACCTTTCAAAGGTTCCCTAACATGGGAAGGACCTGGAATACTTTGAGGAACTTTACAAAACATAACTGGGTTTTATCTTAGTTTGTTTTTCAACACATATTGCAATGTTTTCTACCAGCTGATATTAAATACCTTTTGAGAGAAAGCAGAAACCACGTACCTTTTACGTGTTTTTGTTAAGTAGAAATTTAGGGCTCCAGGAAGACCAGGTATGTCTGGGTTTTGTTATCAGTGTTATTTTGAACTCAACTTTCTACACAATATCAACTGAAAAAATCTATTGTGAAAACAACATTCTGAATGTAGACTTCCAAGCCTGAGACAACAATTACACTAAGAAAGGTGTTAATTGCACTACTTGTGAATTTGATGTAGAATTACAATTCCCATGTCATCCCTGATAAACTTAAAAAAGATAGCAAGATATCTGTTGGGATCTTAAGAGAGTTTGAGCAGGCTATATTATTCTTTAGCTTTCAATCCTAAGAAATATAAGTTTATTGAATCATAGGTGATTTTACTTGTTGTTGGTAAAGCATAAGTGGGGCACCCAAAGTGCTTAATGAAAAAAAACCCAAACCAAAAAACCAAAAAATAGTCCTTTTGCCTGGAAGTCTCCTGAGTCAACAGCGAGGTCATATTAATACATGTATTGTAGAAGTGCTTGCATTTGTCATAGGTAGAATGCTATTTTAATTTGTGGTGTTTCTTTAAGTATTTACCAAGCATGTAACTCAGGCTTTTTTCTTTTTTGTGATAAGTACTTATAGCAGCTCAATAAAGAGAGCTCTCCTGCTCTCCATTCTTCACTGGGAGTGAAGTTAGGAGACTTTTTTCCTTCCTGGTAATAAAGCCCCATCTACTGCCTTCTGACCATATCATCAAGTTCCTTCTGCTACCGTGGTCTTATAAGATTCTATGTAAGACTGCCCATAATAACTTCATTGTGCTGCGAGGATGTAAGAACTCTTCTAGGTGCTCCCCATGAAAACATTTTTATGGGCACTCACAAAACCTAGCACTCCCCAAACCCTCCAAAGAAGCACCAACTGAAACACCTGACTTCGTTCCTTGCTTTTCTTGAACACACGGTAAGCAGTTCAATAAACTCTTAATTCATCTCCTTGTTTCTTCCTTATCCCATTATTTTATGCTTTTATGTCTCTTGACCCTCAGGAGGAGCAGCCAGGTGTGGTGTTATCCAGCTGGAGAGAGTGACAAATTACTAATGACAGTAGTGTGCCTTGAGACCATTCTGTATTTTCTTGTCCAGTGCAGCATGCATATTGGTGAAATGGGTCATAGGTGTGCAGAGCTCGCAGGTTGCGGAAGTCGGGGAAATTCATGCAGATAGGTAGAGCTAAGTATCAAATCCAGTGTATGTGGCACTACCAAGATTTCTGCTGAAGCTGATGTTACTTCACACACACACCACCCCCCTTTTCCCCACTTGCGCAGTCCTCTCACTGTATAATTGCATGATTCTTCCACACCGAGGCCTCTATCTTCTTTGGCTTTTGTTGCTTCTTTACCACACGCCTCTGCAGGTCAATGTACTTATTTTCAGACACTGAGTGACTTTACCTTGGGCTGGCAGGTCCCAGAGCACAAGGGCATGTTGATTGTACTTCTACTCCCTCTGTTTAATTCTGAGGTAGAATTACTGTTCTTCTTGGGGCTTATCCACTCTGTGGGTGTGGTTAGTGTAACTGCAGTTAAATCTCAGCTGTCTCTTGCAGGTGAACACAAGTGATTACACTAAAACATTTAAATGCAAATGTGTGTTCCTTGATGATTTCATGAACTGTGAAATATGAACGTTATACAAGCTGATACAGTGGTCAGAGGAAATGCAGGCAAGATGGTGCATGGAGGTCCTCTGAACTGTACTACTAAGTAGCTTCATGTAATATCAAGGTATGCTTATGGCTTATCATTTGCATGGTTGCTGTAATAACACCTGATAGTCTGTATGACTACTTGAAGATGAATTTCCATATATAGTCATGAAAGTGGTTGTCACAGTAGTTGCCTGACCTTTGAACACATTGCATTGTTCCTGTACACCATAAAAATGTGTATTCCAGCGTGCTCTGTTCTTATCTATGCCTGTGTTACTTAGTCAACTTGGCTGGAGTGAAAGGGTACAGAATATTGGTTTGATGATTAAAAAAAAAAAAAAGTGAAAAACTGAAACAAAATTGAAACAGTAAATGGTGGTAAGGACAACAGGCAAGCCAGAAGCCTAAAAGAAGAATTTGAACATCTAACAACTAAGCAAAAACTAACAGGCAAAAGAGAGAAGAAAAAAAGTGAGGAAGGAAAATATGACATTAAAATCTGTTTTTCTCATGTCTTTTATTTCTATATGTAATCTAGACAGGTCCTAGCCCTGCAAGCATTTATCATATTTTTTATATGAATAAACCTGATGATGTAAAATTAAACATTTGAGTAATTTGGAGAGATAGCATGTTAGATTATACATTCTTTTGGAACCTGGCATTATTATTTATATAGCAGCAATGACTATTTTTTGCTTATCTACAGCTACTACTATTAAACGTAGTTGCCTGTATATATCTTCTTGTTACTTGTTTCTTGCTTTCTGGTATTTCTAGAAGAGAAGTTATTCTTGAGGCTAGTAACTGTGGAGGAAACGCACAGAAATGTATGTGCTACCAGGATCAGTGTTGTAACATCAAGACTTTTTGAGCTGATAATTTTTGAATGAGAGTTAAGATGCCTGTAATCTAGTTCCCTAAGGCGAAATTTGCAGAATCTTAAATGCTGATTTTAAAAATTAAAAAAAATGCAGAACCAAAGAATGTCATAATGATTTCATGGGAGAAATTTTTCTGTGGTTTAATTGGCTCTGGAAATTTTTTTTAAACTTGTAGCAACAGTGATGACTAAAAATCCCTTAATAAAGTGCAAAACTGTACTAGTCATGCTAGGAGAAAATTGTGCAGTGTTTTAATTTAAAATGTCATTTAAACTACTTTTGAAAATTCTGGCTCTTTGTAATTACATAGGTTCTTTCATTAGAATTTCTTCAGTGAAAATCTGAGTAGCTGTACTAGCTACAATTGTCATAGTGGAAAATTGTTTTCTGAGAGATTTAATGTGAGGAGAAATAATTTTCCATCTGGTTCTGTGTTCCATACAAATTAAGACTAGAATAGAGTTTATGCATGGGAGTATTTATAAAAGTTCTGCTAAATGTCAACTTTTCCCATTGCATGGCTTACTATACAAACCAACACAATGGAGGAGGAAAAAGGGGATTAATGGTTTTTGTCCTTTTACCCTCTTTTTTTTTTTTTTTTTTTTAGAAGTGAAATAAATTTAACTTGCATATGTTGGAACAGTATTCATTGCCTTTTGGAGGCGCATGTGTTACTTGATGAGTATTTTTGCAGTACTTAGAGCTTTCACTGCTCTGTAAGGGTTGTGTCAACAGAATAGACACCACCTTAACAGCATGTAGTATGGAAATACCTAAATTAAAATGATTGTACCCTTACATTTAACTCTTCACATAAAGTCTGTGTCTAATGTTTAGTTGCCACCCTTCTTATTGCAGTAATTAATTAAAGTATTTTCATAGCATTCACCATGATGTGTGAAATACTTCACATCCCTGATAACTGTTACCATAAAATCTCAAAAAATCAATAGGTCTACATAAATGGATTAAATAAAAGTAGAACTAGCAAATAAAAGGATCTGATACTAGCAA